GGGATATTTCCAGTGCAGCTATAATAGTTTGACAGCAAAGAGATGCTCAGCAACCCAAAAATATCAGCGCGTGCTCTCCACCTACAGCACATATAACCCACAGCAGAATGCAAGACGTTTTAGGCGTGTGCTGTACTCTGGAGGTTGTCAGCAGTCATTTTGGGAAATGCATGAAATCACAAACAGGAGAAGAGTAGGACAAGTTAGGCTGGAGGGAGGAAGTACATCTTCATTGCATAATAACTCCTGAAACGTGCTTCTCATCACGATTTATTTTTCTAAATTAGTCCAAGGGAGGATTCTGATCTGTTTCACAGTCAATTACATTGTGCCATTTATGATTTATATGCACTTCCACTGGCTTTAACCAAAGTACATGGCCCCCTCGTGCAGCAGCAACACTTAACAAAGATGTATTTATTTATTTAACTAAATGCCTCTCTCCCGACCTTCAATAGATATCAGAAAACTGTCTAAGATGTTACTCTAAAGATGTAATCTATATGCAGCTTTAATTTGCCTGTATCTATATCCTGTATCATAATATCAATCTTATATGTCTGAGTTTGTCTCAGGCATAGCTGCCTTTGAATGTCTCCATTCCTCACCGCCCTTATCTGATTCATTTATGAAAAAACCTGTGGATCAGCTCAAACCATTAAACTACAATACTATCACATTAACTTCCCACCCACATGGCCTGAGACGGAAATTGATATTATTACAAAGCTACACTGCAAAGACACATAATTCAACTACGTAAAGTGGGAATACAGAGCTCTTGAATGTTCATTTTATTTAGCAAAGTAGAAGTCAGTTCTCCTGCTGTATTTGATGTCAAATAGATGACGAATAAGAAGAGGAATTCAGATATCAGGAAGGTGGGGAAGCATGATATTTAAAGTAGACAGCTAAGTATCAAAGAGCAATATCCACCTTTAAAGAATGATGCGCATACATTAATCCTGTGATCCTCCAGGTGTATCTTTGAGCGTGAACATCTCTCTTCTACAACTATGTACTGGAGTAAGATTTAAGTTTGTCTCAAGAATCATAATGGGGTTTTTCTGTTATATGTTTCTTCCCTTTTCCCTCTAACTGGCTTACTGATGTTGATGTCCATGCCCTTAGGACTGTTTTATAACCCCAGAATCAAGACAAAGAATTTAAATTGCTTTCGAATAAAACATGCTAGGGGGGGAAAAGTCAATGAGCATTTGTCATTTCGCTTCTTTTTTTTTTTTTTACTCTTTCTGCAGCACACTGACAACAAATGATACATGTGTTAAGCTGCATGTCGGCTATTACTCAATTAGCTACTTGTTACGTCTTAACTCAATATGTTTCCGTTTTTTGAGTGAATTGTCAAAAACTGCCACTGTCTGACATTACCCTGACCTTGTGTAGATATAAACCTAATAGAATCAAATTATAACCAATGATGTTGTACATTTACTGCAGGCACATCTTCCTACTACTTTATTTGTCACGATTTGATTGTCAGATTTGTATAGCTATACAATCGTGAAAACAAAATCAAAAATGTTCTCCACACTGGTTGCCAGTAACTCACAGAATTGATTTTAAAGTTCTATTACTTATTTATAAATGTCGACAGGGAGTTGGCCGTAAATATATGACTGACATGCTCGAGCAGAAAAACTCTACGAGACCTTTCAGTGGAGCCCAGGGCTAAATCTAAACAGGAGAAGCATTTGTTAGTCAATATACAGTGCTGGAACTAACCTGCCTATGAGGTATGGCCGAAAACATTTCAGATTTCAAATCCAAATTGAAAACCTTATTGTACTAATTAGTGGTGAATTAAATGCATTCAGAAACAAATGCCTTATTATTTTATTTTTGACTTTTAGTATTATTATATCTGTATCATTTATTTTTTACTTACTCTCTTTAATTTTCACATTTATTTTTATTTTATTGCTATAAAGATCTTTCTCTTTTATTTTTGCTCTTTTACAACATTTTGTTTTTACTTTGTATTGTGTTTTATTTAATCCTCCGTGCAGCACCTGGTTCCCGCCTCCGTTTATGGAACGTGCTTCATAAATAAAAACAACCTTGCCTTTCCCTCTGTACGAACTAAATGTTATTCTTTTGTTTAACACATTGTACGTTTCTCTGCACTTTCAAAAGCCACCCACAAAAGCAAAGTAATGCAAACGACTGAAGCAGATGAAAGCTGTATTCTGTAAACTGAGGTAGCAAAGTGTGTAACTGAGGCATAAGAAAACACAACCACTAACAGAAGAATGTGCCCCCAACAAACGTCTTTGCTTTTACAGGTGTCACTTTTCCTACACAGGTCATTCGGTTTCTTCATTCATCTCATTCTAACCCATGGTGGAGAAAATAGGAACAGGGAGATTGCATTAGCAGGGCCAAGCACTCGCACAACAAACACACAGCATCATGGTGAATTACCTCCTCGCCTCCATAGGAGCCGGCAATTTGAGGGTGTCAAAGTCAAGGTGTAACATGAGACTGCCATTAATAATAGCCTCAGCACTGCCCCTGCTGCTAATGATGGCAACACATTAGCACACATGCAACCTTGAGTCAAACAACACCCTTTCCCATGAACACTTGAGCCATCCAAGTCAACATCAAAACAAGAACGCAACATACAAATGTATTTAAAACGCGCTTACTCATGCACCACTACACACTTCAAATTGTCAGACTGCAGAAGCTTTAAGAGCATGATGTTTAAAACATGGAAACTCTGTTAGGGCATGGTGTTAGCCTATACTTCTGGATTAGCATGTGTGCTGAGGGCTGATGGGGGGAGGAGGAGGGGAGAGAAGAGATGAGAGCCAAGGCTTTAAGCAATACTAATGCTCAGCTGAGATGAGCAGTCTGACAACAAGGCTACGAGCCTTGTGAATAAACGATGAGCGTGCAAGCCACAGGGCAGGGGTAGAACTTATTTCGGCATCATGACCGCGTCAACCCCTCTAACAGCTCTACGTGCACGCACCGTAATATATGTTCACGCACGCAGAAAGACAAAGAAGCACGTGCACGCCATGTTGAACTTGTCACTGTCCCTCTGCGCTGTTTAGTGGAGACAGCACTGGAGACCACTTCATTCATGCTCACCAGGTGTGGGCGTGGATGAGACAGACACACACACACACACACACACACACACACACACACACACACACACACACACACACACACACACACACACACACACACACACACACACACACACACACACACACCCACACACACACACACACACACACACACACACACACCACACACACACACACACACACACACACACACACACACCACACACACACACACCACACACACACACACACACACACACACACACACACACACACAGTAAACAGAGCTGGGTGAGTCTGCCAAACAGAGGAAGCCAGGTGTCAATCAAGTGTCAGGGCAACCAGAGGAGAAGGATATCAGGCCATGGATGAGACTATAAATACCCGGGCCCACCTTGGAAGTCAGAGTGACATACACACACACACACACACACACACACACACACACGCATGCACGCACGCACAAATGCACACCAGTGAGAGTGGTGTGACCCCGACGTCTAAGTAACATCAAACTTGTTTCTACAGTGGTCTGTGATCAGCCTTTTATTATTCTCACAGACTTCAAGCTCCATTCAGATGGGACCTCTTTCTTTCCTATGGGGGAGGCTGGGTCATTTCAAATGTAAATGTGCTGATCAGTGATCTCAATCCTGTCTGGAGATCTTATGTCTGTCGTTTTTTTTAGCACAACCGTTGGTTTTTCTTGTGTTTTAAAGATTATCACTGAGTTTGAAAGCTTATACCTACTTCTGTTTCCTGGTTTCATTCTTTCCCCCCCTTCAAAATACCCCGGTTTAATACAATTAACTCCTGAAATTTGGTTCTGGAGTAATGATGACTTTGGTTGAACAGCATGAAAACCATTTTATCATCCACCTCCTCAGCTATTCTTTTATATTGAGCTATAAAAACATAAACAGATATTGGCATGTCCCGTTTAGGACTGTTGATTAAAAACTGTTGATTAAAAACTGTTGGCAAGCACCTTGTAACTTTCTCAAGTACTCAGAAACTGCAAGATTGCAAGAAAGACCATGCACTCTCAAAACATGACTTAAGTGACCTGTTTTGTGCTTAGTCAATGATTTGGCAATCATTAAATCATGTTTTCCACCTGCAAAGATTCCAATGCAGACGTACTGTATATCTGAAATTGATAAATGCTCTTTTTTATCGGAACAAATGTAAAGATTTTAAATCATTCTTACCAAATCATGTTTTTATAGCTTAGAGACTACATCATGTTTAATTTATCTGATTGATTAGTATAGAAAGGAGAGGAGAAGAGAAACAGGAAAATAGAGGAAGGGAGGAGAGGAAGAAAGGAGAGGACACAAGAGAAGAGAAAAGGAGAGAAAAGGAGGGAAGAGGAGAAGAGAAGAGAGGAGAGGAGGTTTGGGTCCAACGGTTGGATCGTAGAAAGGGTTCTCCTAACACATGCAAATCCTTTTTGACCTACTTCCTAAAGACTGATGGCCTACAGCGTAGCAGAATCAGCTGTCATGGCAACATGCACTTCACATCTCAGCACGAATCATCATCATCATCATCATTATCATCATCATCATCATTATCAATGGCGCTCTGTGGCAAGGGGAGAAACAAGGGAACATGCCGTTACAGTTGATCTAGTCATTTGTGGGAGGCTCATGCACATGGAACACAGGGAGTGGAGCGATGAGGCCTAAGAAAAGACTCTGGCAGAGCGATGTAGTTATGTCATGTGTGGAGTCATTCTCCTGCTCCTGCTGACACACCACCTCCACCTGAATGCATGGCAGCAGGCAGCGGAGGAGAGATGTGGAAACAAAACAGTGGAGACTGTGTGAGAGCGACCAAAAAAAGAAAAAACAGGGAGGGGGGTTTAAAACAGAAGGGAAGAGGAAGTCATACTTTGGGCAACGGCGTTTCGGATGACCGGACATTCTTGGGAGATATCTGTGAAGAGAGCAAGAGAATTATTTTCTTGTTTCCCCCCTCTTCAGAGATATCTCCTGTGGCATATTGCTGTTCGCTCTTACAGGACTTATATGGATGTCTGATCATGTGTTTTCCTGTCAGCAGCACCTGTAAGTGGTTCCTCAGAGATTTATTAATAAGTGATGATTAATATGCTCGCAATGGTGCTTTTAGTCATTATATTTAGTAAAATGCAACCAATTGCTGCAGTGCTTTGTGTCAACTTTCAACATCAAAACATAGAAATGAGTTTAGCATTTTGTGTAAAAGTGGGAGCTAAGGGAACAAAAAAGGTGTAGCAGGTGTTGTAACACACCCCGAAAAGGTTTGCAGATTTGAAAGCTGAAGGGCAGTGGGTCACACATGCAGTATGATGGGACCACAGACAGCACAATGGAGGATATATAAAACACCACAATTTGAGCAGTGTGAAGACCCATGAGGCATAAAACAACCTCATATGCAAGAGAAGGGCTTCATATGTTCTGCTACAACCCAGTGAGAGTTGTAGAGAACCTTAGGAGCATTTATATCAAACACTTTGGTGTGTCAATTAATGTAATTAGAAAAAGCCCCTTTTTTCAGTGGGTCAAATGTGTCGATGTGATATGTTAAGAAGAACCAATGAACAACAACACATCAGAGGAGACACTCAGAAGGTTCAGAGACAAGGGGAGACACGCAAGCACAGTCACAGTGTGTAGGTGGGGGGGGGGGGGGGGGGGGGGGGGGGGTCAGGAGAAGAAATCACACAGCCAAGTGGAAATAAACATCAGTCTGCATTAGGGTTTCTGAGACTGTGACATTGTGTAATGGAAAAGTCCAATGAGTTATTGTCTTTAAAGCTGCTTTATGCAATGGATGCCCAGCAGGGGGCAGGACGTGTATGGGTATATCTAATGTTTAAGGCTAATGTGGTTGTAAACATGTTGTATACAGCAAACAAGAGAAAATATGATAAGATAATTATATTGAATTCATGTTTCTGTCCACCTGGAGAATGGAGAACGTCAAAAGTCCCTCAAAACAAATCTAGGTCATGTTCTCTGGCCTATGGTTTCATCTCTAATGATTTAAAAAATATGCAGGTATTTATGACATGCACATCTTTTTGTCTTTGTTTTGATAGTTAGAATAGTAAGGTAGTGACAACACAGAAAACTGCTAAACACATTCAGTGGGATAATAGAATGTGGATATTCAGTTTAACATTTGGTCCTACTTGTTTTACTTTTAAGCCCAAACAAAAAGTGCTTTTTAGGATAAAAGATTTACAGAATAAATGCAAATCAGTCATGTAAGCCTCCACTGTTTTTGTACAACAATGACCTCCAAAACTCACAAACTACGCTGAACAATTTAGACTGATAAATACAGGTGAGGGAAAAATATTATAGTAATTTTTTTATTTTGGGGTGAACTGTCAATTTAATCACAAAATGGCTTAATGCAGGTTTAAAGCATGGACAATGATATGACTATAACTGTTATAATATACTGCATAAAGTGGCCAGATGGCACTGGAGAATAATCTATTCTGCCTCAGAGGAAATACAACTGAGTGTATCAGGTGGAGGATGGAGGGGTGAGAAACAGCGACATTGATGTGAAACATAGCTACACAAAGGGAGAGTAGCAAAGACAGAAAAGAACAGAGGTACATTTCATAACGACAGAGAGCACAGGAGTGTGGGCGAGAGTGGTGTAAAACGAAAAGGAGGGAAGTAAGCTAGTAGACAGGAAACGCTAAGGACAGTGCTCAGGCTTGATGCCCTCTGTCCTTTCACACTCTACCTTCATGGGTGCCAGCTGGATGGGGGTGATGTAGGAGGGGTCCACCATGGGCTTAGGGCGGTTTGCAGTGTCTGCCAGGAGGCTCTGCCATTGCTGCGGCAGACCGGTGAACTTCTGCTCCCGCGGGTCGAAGCCCGTGTGGACCCGGTGCTCAAAGTTAGACGGAGCTGAGATCTCCAGCCGTTTCTTCTTCTTCCCAAACATGCTGGAAAACCCTGGCAAACCTGGAACATACAGAAGATAGCTGTAGATTACAATTCTGACTAAAGTATTGTCTGTAATGAAATAAATACATAGATGAAACCATTTAGTTTGCATCCACAGCACTATCAAATGTGCCTTTTTACACTTTTACAAGGCATGCATTATATATATTGTCACACACACACACACACACACACACACACACAAATACATATGATAATTTGATATTTAAAACCTGCCTCAACAAACAAACCTGAAATAGCTTGATGAAAGTGTTCATTTTGTTTCAAAGTAAAGAATACTTTGTATATTAGTATATATAGTTGTCTAAATATGGCTCAGGATATTTAAACGTCTCCCCAGACGTTCAATCTAATGCTCATATTTACAGATTTTCTAACATAAAAGAAAGACATCACATTGTAAAGCAAGAAAACATAAGGATAACTGAACTGATAATCATCCTGGTTATCAAAAAGTTGGAAGTAATCGATTTAGCTTCCTTTCCTTCTGAGGTGCACATGAGGTCTCCCTCATAAGTCCGACTGATAGGCTGTTACAACCCGTTTTAAACTGATGTTTTATCTTTTGCTGTGCTGTTATATACTTTGCTGTTCAGTACCATATAAAGTTTAGCCTGCAGGATATAAACAAGGTGCAAACATTTTTCTTTGTTTATGTAACATCAACATCAGAAACACGGATGAACTGAAGTGAAGAAAAAAAAGAGTGCCACATTAGGATTGTGTTTTTTATATGTCAGGTTTGATAGTGATTTAGATACAGTGTGTAGCCATGACATGTTCTTCTATTCCACCCCCAAGAGGAACTGTTTTTAAGTCCCATTGTGGTATTGGATGTTGTGGCGGATGCACCGTCTCCAGTCATAGGAACAAAATGTCATGATGTTGTTGGTGTGGATGTGAATGGAGACTATTGTGTTGTTTCTATCTACGAGGCATTGTGCTCAGAGAAAAACAAAGTCATCCTTCGCCCTCCCCTCCTTCCTTTTCTCTCTCTCCCCTTCTGTTTTGGCATTTGCACAGATAATGCTTGCTGTGCTAGTCCATCTCAAACATTCATTTATTTACATATTCACTAAAGAAAACACATTTGAAGGTCTCAGTTAAGCCACTTGAAGAATCACTATCAAGATTAAAAGCATGGCAGCCTTGAATATGAAATTTTTTATTGTATTTAGACTGGCTGTTATTGTAGAACAAAATACAGTTCAAGACAACTAAAGCAGGCTAATAGTTAAGCAGACAATAGTGTCTTTTGTTGGTTGGAATGACACCAATATAGGTAGTAGCATTAACACACTAACAGATGAAGTTAGCTAGTTTGCGTGCGCGAATGCTAACGCTAAGACCAGTAAGTTGGTTTCATGCCCATACGTTTTTTAACAGGTAGGCCTATTCCCCTTGTCTACTGCTGCTACTACTATTAATAGTACTTCTACTACTACTAGACTACATGTGGTAGGCCTAGTCTAATAAACATTTTCATCTTATGCTAGAGCAAATTTAAACGCAGTTTATTCCATTCCTTACGCTTTTTGTTCCTGTAGCTTTGATTTGAAAATGCCTGAAAAGGGAAACTCTCTCAAGTATTTTAACATATTAATTATGATTAATCCCATAAACATGAACGCATCTTTGTGAGAATTAGCAGACGATTTAGCAATTAGCCGATTGTTAAAAAGACATTACAAACACGCTGGTCGGTTGGTAAAAGGTGTCAATGAAGTCAGTGGGCTCAGTTTTAGTCGTGTAAATGATTAACTGTTTTAAATCGCCAGGCAGTGCTGAGTCTTTGCAAAGACAGAAGCCACCAAAGAGTCCATTTCTAAATGTAACTTCAAACAGACAAAGCAAAAATGTAATCATGGTAATCTCTTTCAATCATTTCCCTTGCTGCCCTGCAAGAGAGCCAGCAGACAGACTAAATGAGTGGTCTCAAACGGGAAAGATGGAGAGATAGATTGATGGGAGAGGGAGAGGAGGGGGAATGGGCTGAAGCAGAAGATGAAAACAGAAGTGAAGTGAAGTTGGAAAGTAAGGAGGGATAGACAAATGAATACTAAAGAGTAAAGAGTCACGGAGAAAGGATGGAGGCTGAGAAGGCTTGAGGCTGAGAAGGCTTAAGGCTTCGTGGTGCATACAGAAACACACACATAGCACAGATTTTTATGTATCACACTGCTGCCTTTAGAAAGTTCAATATTGGATCAAAAAGGTGTTAAGTCATAGATAGAAACCTTGTGCCACGGGCATGTTTACACAGCTCTGCTTTCTACGCTGCATTTATTGTAAGCCCTGGTTTACACTGACTCAAGACTCGAGGATGTATTGCACCCATGTCAGGAAGAATATCTTTGTCATCAAATCATTCTTTGTTGTTGAAACAACAGATAAACATGTATTATTCAAAGGAAACCATTACAAATCACCATGATGTGATCTGAATTCAACATATTATTGAGTATAATATTAAAATGACATTCCATATTTAAAAAAGGAACATAACAGCCCTGATCTTACAACTTCAATTACTGACATTTATGCGAAAGGTAATTTGTGAATCCTTCCTGGTGGTGCGTTCAGGTGCTGAAGTGAAGTTCTGAGAACGGAGCTTCATCATTCAGCTGTCATTCAAAAGCAATGAGGTTTGGAAACTAAAAACGTACAAATAATGATCATACATAATTGCTGTAAAACGTGTCAGATTGATAGGCTGTAAAAAGTCTTATATATGTCCGACATAGAAATCAGTCCTAGGTTAAAGGATTGTTTGTTTGAGTGATCTAAATGTTGAAATAGGGCTGCTCAATTAATCGTATTTTAATCGCAATTATAATTACGAAAACAACGTAATCGAAATACAACGATTATTTTTTTATTATTATTATTACTTTTTTTTTTTTTACTTTTTTTTTATTGGTTTTTCAGTTGAATTATACTTAAAGTTCAGGGTAATCAACTGTTAAAAACATACTGTTTTTCTCCAATAAATGGATGTTTTCAAAGTAAAAGGATAATCGTTTTTAATAATCGTGATATCAATTATTGACCCAAATAATCGAGATTATGATTTTTGCCATAATCGAGCGGCCCTATGTTGAAAGGTACAAATGAAAAATGAAAAGTAAAATATGGCTGCATGCTTCTAAAAAATGGCTCTATTGGCAGGTGTAAACAGATCTAAGCTATTTGGATGAAACATGCAAAACTACAGGTTTGGTCCTTTAACTAACACAAACTAGGCGAAACATCGGGAAGAGAGCTTGATAATGACAAACACATAATGGCTCTTTTTCCTGGTTTATCACATTGTCTAATTCACACGATAAACAATCCACACAGGTATCCTCCCTAATTGGCCAGCAAAAACAAAAGCCTAACAATCCTTAGCTCTCATCTTTTCTATAATGTGCTGAATCTCTTCTGAAAAGCAAACATGTCAGCAACTCTTTCCCCTTTTGGCTGATGTCCACCTAAAGCTCCAGAAATCGACCCAAGGTTTCCGACCTTGTTACTATTTTGAGAGCGTGTACACAAAGTGGATGCTGCAAGATGAAACACTGACATGTACACATTATGCTGATTAGATATGACATTCTCAAAACAATGTCACTAAAGGCGACGTCAAGGATGAAGCTGAACAACAGCTCAGACAGAAGGCAACGCTCAAATGTTTTGTAAATAACGGCTACAGAGTTTCCGTCTGCAGTCAGAAACACACGGTGACTAAACAGGGCCTGATCGCAGCCTTGCACTGAATCATCAGCTGACACATTCAGTAGCTGAAGCCCTTGTTACCCTAGAGCAATATACAAACAAAAACACATCCCATAATGCCACATGCTACTAGGAACCTGATTTGAAGTGGAGTGAAAGTGATAATTAGATTGGGTCTAAACATTTTGGGTAGTAAATCTGCCACTGGTGTCACAGTACACTGCTTTAGTGCCATGCTGGAATAGCAACAGTAACTAAGGGAGGCCTGCTTCTTGTCAATTAGTTCCAGCCCTCCAAGAGAGATGTTATTATTGAGAGTGAACCTCAAAAACTAAAATATATTTGTTTCCTCTTACCTGTAATCATAGATATCTACTAGGGCTGTCAAGTTAACGCGTTAATAACGCGTTAACGCAAAAAAAAATTAACGCCACTAATTATTTTAACGCGATTAACGCATGTGTATTTTTTGTCCTCGGCCGCCGTAGTTTCAGAGCGCATCGAGTTTAAAATACCATCTACAAGCTGATGCTGACAGCCCCGCTCCTGCTGCCCGCTTGTGGCAGACCACACTTCCACGCTCACCGGCAGGCCCGGACTGGCCATCGGGAGGACCGGGAGGGTGTGTGTATGTGTGGCGCGAGCGAAGCACACCTTACGTGTTGTTGTTAGCATCTGGTGCTAGCTAGCTGAGCTAACGGATATAAGGAGCTGTTTCAATGAAAACAGAGGAGCGACATTTCGCCGACAACTGCGCCGAGCACTTGACTTTATGCAGGTAGCCAGACAGCACACTCAGCACGGATAGTGCCGCAACACAGCTCATACACACAGGCATATATGCCTTGAGCTGCACATAGCTCCAACGATCCGTCACACACACACACACACACACACACACACACACACACACACACACACACACACACACACACACACACACACACACACACACACACACACACACACACACACACACACAACACACACACACACACACACACACACACACACACACACACACACACACACACACACACACACACACACACACACCACACACACACACACACACACACACACACACACACACACACACACACACACACACACACACACACACACACACACACACACACACACACAGTATTGTATGAGAGAGGTTCTAGGTTGAATTGAGGCGAATATTTGTATTGTTCAGAGGTTGTTGTGTTTAATATTCATGAGAATATTTGTCATTGTTCAAATGATAATAAACAAACATATAAAGCATAGTTGTCCACTCATATGTTGATAAGAGTATTAAAAACTTGAAAAATATCCCTCTAAGGTACATTTAGAACAGATAAAAAATGTGCGATTAATTTGCGATTAATCGCGATTAACTATGGACAATCATGCGATTAAATATTTTAATCGACTGACAGCCCTAATATCTACCAAAGAGATATCTGCCTCCATAAAATATAATGGAGCTAGATAGCACTCAGATTTTATGAAATATTAAAAAACTTAACAGCCATGTATCTTTCTTTGTGAGTTTGTCCTTGTAAATAGGATTTCCTTACAATGGAACTACTTGACAACCGTATCACTGCGCAAAAGGGGATCTGAGAGTAAAAGAGAAGCTCATCCGGGTGTCGTTTGGTAGAAAGAAAAGAGTTCCTTCACATGTCTTTGGATTATCTTGAGTAACCAGGCAATGAAGTAGGAGTTTTCCAAATGTCTGTTTTTGAGCATAAGCCAAGTCTAGTTCCATTAAATTCAAGAGCTCCACAGCCAATACCTCCAACCCCAGCTACTAACACCAAGACAGTCTTCATTTAAAAATGATAAACTACAGGTAAGAGGAAAAAACCTCTACAGTATGTGTTATCACAGGGTTAGCTGTTTCTTTGATGTTTCATTTTTAAAACATATACAAATGTTAGTAGGACACCGTGCTGGACCCTGTCTGTGGTCTGTGAGCAGGGTGAAGATAGAAACCCCTGACCTAGATGGTACTTATTGGGAATAAGATTATTAAAGGCTAGCAGGGCTTAAGTCGTCTAGGCGAGGCTCAACTGCTAAGAGACAAAACAACACATGCACGCGCACATAAACAACACCAAGCACATGTAAGGCGGCAGATGGAGGTGCTTGTTCAGGTACAAATGTACTCCTGCAGCGCTTTTATCAGCCGTCCTCTCACAACGGTGGGAACGGGGTTGGACTGAGATGATCTTTAAGTGTAAAGGCCTCTGGGAAATGGAGGAACGACTTACTGCACCACTCCTCCTGACTGCCACATAAGCACCTCTTGAGCTGTAATTTATAGGCAGATGTAAAGCACTTTGTGAAGTTTCAAACTAGTGCCTGCAAGGTTACTTCCTGCCAAAGAGTAACAATGTCACTCGGATGAGAAATAGCACCTGGTAATATACGGCAGAGATTATAACACTCCATTATTCTAGGTACGTGAGACTGGAGTGAGTGGTGGCTGTGTGTGTGTGTGTCCATCTATAAGTGTGTTGTAAGTATTCACTCGTACACCCCAACTCTGAGGGCTCTTAACTTAAAGTATACTGTATATAGTTCTGGCCTTAATATGTAAAAGCAATATATTTTGATTAAATTGTCAGTGTGCTCTTACAAGATGCATTACATAGCCAAGCCTTTAAAACACATTGACACAAGCATACTTAAAATGGGCTACTAGTCCCAGGGCAGAGATCCTGACTCCCAGGCTGATTTGTCTTCAAACCATCTGTCACCATCTGATCCTCCACAGGCATTTCCCCTTATGTACAACAACACCTTAACACACACACACACACACACACACACACACACACTTTCACTGGAACCTGCATCACGCTACAGCTAAACTCATGCGTGTGTGTGTGTGTGTGTTGATGTTTGTATATATCTATTTTTGGTTCCCAAGCTAACGCTCTGCGGAAGCATGACGTAATCATGTGTTCTCCAAACACTAGGGCTGCTCAATTATGGCAAAAATCATAATCTCGATTATTTGGGTCAATAATTGATATCACGATTATTAAAAACGATTATCCATTTACTTTGAAAACATCCATTTATTGAAAAAAACAGTTGATTACCCTGAACTTTAAAGTGGACCTATCATGCTATATTTGAATAATATAGTGTAGGACCATACCTATATAAGGCATATTTATACTTTTTTTTTTTCAAAATACCAAACAGATCATGCATTTTAGCCATGCCTCATTTTGCTCAATTTGACATTTTTTAGATCTGTTTTAGCAAGGGTTGATTCTGTGAGAACAGCACCACCTACAGGCCTGGCATATGTACTACAGCGTCTCCAGCGCTTTCGAACGGCAATGGCCGTGGCTGTCTCCTCCTGATTGGTGGAGTTAGCCCAATAGCCGTAGCGCCACCGTCCTGACAGGACAGTGTTTAAATCTGGATCAGTTTTTATCAGATCCGTTGCAGCCCCTTTTTTAGAGATTTGGGTATGGAGGAAAATAGAGAGGGTTGTGTTTTCTGACACTTGGTGAGTTCCCTGGAACACCGGGGACACATATTCATGTATAAAAGACGTACAAAAGTGCATTTTGCATGATAGGTCCCCTTTAAGTATAATTCAACTGAAAAACCAATAAAAAATAAAATAAAATAAAAAATAATAATCGTTTTATTTCGATTATGTTGTTTTCATAATCGTTGCAAGCCAAAATCGTAATTGCGATTCAAATGCGATTAATTGAGCAGCCCTACCAAACACCACATTCATTTTGTATCCTTTAGTTTGTAATTTCAAAGCTTCATTTGGTAGTGAGATGCAGAGCGCTCAGTCATGCACAAATATGTAAATACAGTTCATACATAATTAAAAATGCAACATGAAGTGTATTCTGATAAACAAGCTGAGGGAGGGGCAAAGTTCTCTGCTTTATTTGCCTCGACAGGGAAGAGGAGGAATTTCTAATTTAATTAAAAAGGTCCAAAGATTCATGAAACCAAAACCTGATGGCACATTTTTGCTCAAGGTATTGCCCTTTTTCCTAGAGTACTTAAAAGCAGCTCTACTGGGTTTGAGTGACAGAAAAATGCACAAAGTGTGTTCTTCATCAATAGTGTCTCGGTTTTGTTATCCCTCGCCTCTTTTATCCCGAATTACTTTGTTGTGTGTGCTTTTCTATTCTGTCGCATTTGCATTCACTTGTTCTCTCAAGACCTTGTTCCTTCAGATGATTTAATTGGCTCAAAAACTGTTTACACAGACATGCATTTCACCTCCCATTCCCCGTAGATGAATCTGTAGAGCAGTAAACAACTTCAGCGGAAGAAGAGGCTTTTTATCATTCGCACAGTGTTTACAACACAGCAGGAAGCTTGTAACATCCCTCGATCAAATCCTGATTAAAGACTTGGGACAATCGGAAAAGCTGCGGCATGTTAAATCATGTCTCTGACGATTAATATCTCATCTTAGATATTTGTATGTCAAACCCATTTAATGTCTGCCCTTACCTGGCAAAAAACTGACGGTGTCTTTTAACCAATCACAGTGCCCTGGGTAAGCCATGGCGAGACAGTCCAGGACAATCAGAGCCTCCTCAGATGTTGCACTTTGATGTCAAATTGGGATAAATCCATTATTCACCTCAATTTTCTTTCAACGAAACATGAAACAGCAAGTCTCCTATCCAAGCCATGATTGCTGAATTAGAAAGCCAATGATTCCCTGGAGTAGCGACACTTGAGTGAAGTTATCGAATTGACAAATCAGGTCACATCCAGGACTCTGCAGCCCCCAGCGAGGTGCTAATACTGCTGCTGCTGCTAGCCTGCTGCTGCTACAGTGTGACTCTCCCTGCCTGCACGCTCTGATAACTCCCGATGTGAGATGCACAGGGCACGAAAAAGTGCCTACGCCAGCAGCCTGGGCCAAGGCTGGGCCAGACAGCTTAAGCCCGGACCCATCCCATTTCACTTTCATTGTTTGTCTAACTGGGTTCGACCGGCCGCTTCCCAAACTGAGCACCCTGTGACCTCCACTGTCCTCCCACTTGTCAGAGTGCCACCACAAAAACAACATAGAGTGTAAGTGTCTTTTATGTTCCCACAATCCACAGGATAGTGTTTGTGTCACACACTCAAAACTATCTGCCAGCATGTGTGGATATCAACTTTGGTGTCAAATGCTGCACCACCATGCGCCCTATCACTGCCTCTTTCACAGAGAAGAAGACAGATAGTGTGACGGAGGAGATAAGACGAAAGGAAGAGAAAGAAACAGCTGGTCCAGTCAGAGGCTGTGACAGAGTCTGGCCATTTGCCGACGCTGAGGGGACTTTCAGCTGTGGCAGCCAGGGCAAACACAAACTTACACACAAGCAGCGTGAGGCTGTCACAGAGGGAGAGGGTGCTGGTGAGAAGAGGGCGCATGGGAAATTACACGGTGCACCTCCTCTGCAATGATGTGGACCAAGTTGCATATAGCAATTTAATAAAAACATGTATTTTGTGAGAAAGTAATTTTTGACCCTCATTTCAGCCAATCAGGAGAGTTTCTAAATGGTCTTTGGACATATCTGCATGATTATCTTTATAGGACATAGGACAATATGATGAACAGAATTTCAATTATTAGGCTCTTATACGTTTTATAATGAACCACTTAAAAAGGTTTAAACAAACGGTTAGGTTTCTCTTAGGAAGTGGAAAACTATTGTGACATCAAACCACCTTAAAACTCTGGATCTGGCATACAGAACAGGATGAAGGAAGTCTCTTAACAGAAAGTGCTGAATGTTTCAGTGGAGATTATCTGTTCAGAACAAATAAGACTATGAAATATTTTCATCACGTTCATGAATGACCTTCCAGCCAAACACATTATGTTATTCATAACAGAGACTGTGCTGTAGTAAAGTGAATATATTTTATAAATATATTCACTTCACATAAATACATATCTGAAGTACCTGCATGGTGTCTTTTACAGCGTGGATTACATTTATTGACAATGTTTTTTTCAATCCAGGAATTGTGACATCCTTTTACACAGAAGTCCCAGGGCTAGGTGCGCAACTAACAATTATTTGTATTACACCAATCTGGAGTTTGGCTGTGGCAGACCTTACTGTATCTTAAGTAGTTTTGATGCACTTGCCCACGAAACTGCTCTAGCATTATGGGAAGAGAGAATGTGTTTGATGGTTGAAAGTCTCCAGCAGCAGACACACCCCTCTACAAGCACTGCTGGATATAAATACACACGCCACCTTCAAGGGTCTTATGCAGGCAGTAAGTCTCTCCCTGCAGAACGCAAACACACATGCAGAGGGGTAATGTAAGTGCTCTGGAGGTGGGGAGCTGCAGGGGCAGCTGCACACTAAATAGAGGAAGAGACAGCTAGAATTATGGCAGTTGAGGCTGATTTGGCTATGCTAAGTACCCCGCTCTTTAAAAGCAACACTACTCCACATGGCTAATGGGTGCCAACATCATAACTGTCACGAGACGAATGCTTGTTAGTGAGATAAATGGTAATTCCTGCAAAGTATTTTAGTGCAAATTACAGGCTGTTATTCTTTGCCGGTGTTATGTTTAACAGCATCAGAATCACAGCAAAAATAATTTCAAGATATCCAGTTCAGATGCTGTCTTCAAGTCCCCCGCTGATCTTTCACTATCAATTTGAAAGGATCAGCTAAAGTTGTTGTTATCTCTTCATGTGGTAACATAATGGATGAATATAGCAGTGAAGGGCAACTCTGGGAGGTACTGAGAGATCAGGAGAGTTATCTAAATGAGATCTCTGCCGTCCTGAGGACAGAAAAGCGTGTGTCACTGTCGGAGAAAGAGAGTGTGCACATGTGTGAGCGTGGGTATGTGTGCAGCTGTGCGGCCCGACTTTAGAAGCACATTAAAGGCAAACCAAACATACTGAAACTAAGTCTCTGATAGTGTCTCTTCTGTACAATGGGTTTCACATGAATCTAAGCGGATCTCACTGGAGGATTCACAGAGTTTTGGCCTTACTATGAACCATGAAAGACACAAAGGAGAGACAGTGCTTTCCCGTATGATTTAAGAGACCAGGATGTTGTTAAATGGGGAATGGCTGACCAATGTTGTCCATCCATTTTCCGCTACTTATCCTGCTCCTGGTCTTCTGCTGGACACTTACTAGATTACCCCAGACATCGTTTCCCCAGACTACATCCTCCAGCTCCTCCTGAGGCGTAACCAGGCTAGATGGAATATGTTATCCATTCAGCTTGTTCTGCGTCTGCTTTGAGTTATCAGTGCCCGAAATACCAACACGCCTCCCTGTCTGAATTCAAAGGAGAAACAATTCACTCCAAGATCTACATGCTTCTAACCCTTTCACTAAGGTAAGACCAGACACCATCACATTACTGCTTCCTGAGGATCAATATTATTAATTGTCTACTACATTAAGTTCATGACCATAAGTTAAGGTCACAATATAGATTGACAAGTCAATAACCCCACCTTTGGATGTTAGCCTGCTTCCGCTTACCACTGAGCAAGTAGAAAAACATCAGGTTTCCCTGCTTCGAGTCAAACATCTAGAATTAATTTCCATTTAATTATTTATTAGGAGTTTAACTGTAAAGTGGAATGAACTTCAAATTACTTCAGTGGAAAGCAAGGATCAGTTTAGAGCCAAAGATGTTTGAGTCTGACCATGTCGGAGAAATCAAGACAACTGCACACAACATTTCTATTTCATTAGCCTATATATATTGTTTTACATTTCGGGGAATTCAAAACTTTAAAATATACCGAATTATCTATCAGCGGTTTCTGTTTGCAATGCATGAAAAACTTAGATTAAATGATTTTGTTTCTTAGCAGCTTAATGGATATTCATGTATGTGTTCAGATTTGATTAAAGGGGCACTATAATGCTTTTTGGGGTTTTCCCTTTCCTGTAGTACGTCATTTTTTTTTGTGCATGTTCTGCAGAGGCTAGAATCCCAAAGTTCCCTCCAGAGGGAGTTTTCTCTCCCTCACACTCCCCCCCCTGCCCGAAACGCCTCAATTGGACTCCTTTGTTTACTTCTGTAACATAGTGACATCACTATGTAACGCGTGCGTTACTATTGGTTAGCACTCCAACAAATTGTGTGTGATATGCTAAGGGGGGGGACATCTCTAAGCGGTTGACCAATCACAACAGAGCCAGCCAGCTAACCAATCAGAGCAGACTGGGCTCTGGTTTCAGACAGAGGGTGAAAAGAGGTGCTGCTGCACAGGCATTAAAACATGTCACAGTAGAGGCACCAAATACACACCTGAACCTGAAAGTGAGTATAATAGGGCCCCTTCAAGTGAATACTCAAAGAAGGAAGATCATTTTAGATGCAGATATGGCAAGGTACCTTATTTGCCTCCTTGAGCTGTGTGCACTCCACTGGTGCAGCTCCAACAGCTGACATGTTTTTAAGGCCAAATCAGACAGAATTGTCAAGGTAGAGAGGTGGAATAGGAACACAACAACACATCATAACAAATACCCTGCACAGAGGATCAAAATGTGACAAAATAAATAATTGAAACAGCAAGAAAGATTGTCAAACAAGTCAATGCAACCTGTTGTGAGACTTAATAGCCGCGTTCACACCAAGTACTTTGCCGTACTTAGTTCCCAGCACTTAGTTCCCAGCTCTTAGTTCCCCTATGGAACTAAGAGCCGATCGCGTTCACACCGGAATAAGTTCCCTGAGGGAAGATTACGCAAATGAGCCGCTGACGTCACTTCGTCTTCTTCTGCTTTGGGTTTACTGGCAGGCCGCAAACCACTTCACGGTGTACACTGCCACCCGAAGTCCCCGGCCGGAAGTCCCCGGAGTTGGGGACTGGCTTCAGTAGAAGCTGCTGGGACTCCCAGCAGCTTCTACTGAAGCCTTCCGAGTAAATCGCCAGAACGCCGACACCTCCTCATCACTCCACCACTCCCATGTTTTCTTTTGTGTTGCCATAAGTTAGTCTCTCTGCGTTTGTGCGCTGGGCGAATGCTAATGCTAATAATGCTAATGCGAGGATAATAAAATGGCGGCTCTACAAAACATTTCAGAGTTTTACGGGGCGTGGTTTGCAATTCGCCCAGCCAATCAGAACTGGGGCACTTTTTTCCCCCAGGAAAGTACCATCTCTCAGCAGGCACTAAAAATGGGGGTAAAAGTTCCCGGCACTAATGCCCCTTTCACACCAACGCAACTCCGGTTCAAGCTCCGTGCTAGAGCTTTTCTGGTTCAGAACCGGTTCTTCGGTTTAGCGCCGGCTCTTTTCACACCGCTCAGAGCCCGACTGGTGCTGCCGCTGCTGCGTCATGACGTCACAGTTTACGTCGCTGAGTTTCTCCCCAACGCCGGAGCTCACCTCACAACAACGGGCCGGGGACTGCGTTGCTTTTAATCATACGAAGCCAGATTAAATTAAATAACGACTTCTCCAACCTTATACTTTTCTCCAGAGTGCCGTGGTTCATTGTTTATTAATGTGTTTCAGCGGCATTTACCGACCGCTGCAGTGCTGGCCGGCTGCTCTTCAACGGGAGTGTATTCTCCCGTTAGCTCCGGGTTAGCTCACACGGCTCTAAAGTATTCACTGTCTGACTGTCACACAAGCAGCTGATACATATCCCCAGTTCCCCTTAAGTGAATGTGTGTCAGTCTGAATTGACGCTGTTTGGTGTCAGTCTGAATTGACGCTGTTTGGCATCACAACGCTGTTATGAAAGTTTCTCTGGTATAACATGGGTGATGTTAGCATAGCAACCGAAGCTAAACTGA